GAAGGGTTGTCTTACTAACGTTGACTATTTTCATCGTTCACGTAGCTAGAAGGGTTGTCCTACTAACGTTAACTATTTTCATCGTTTACGTAGCTAGAAGGGTTGTCCTACTAACGTTAACTATTTTCATCGTTTACGTAGCTAGAAGGGTTGTCCTACTAACGTTAACTATTTTCATCGTTTACGTAGCTAGAAGGGTTGTACTTACTTTTTACCTTTCATCTATTGAGATTATTATTTTTTTCATTGAGAAATTGATCGTTTTAAGATATAATTATTTTTTTTATTTCTAGGCTGTATTTTATATTTTCTGGTATCTTTCTGTTAGTTCTTTATAATCTGCAGTTTGAGTTTACCTTTTAGTAACGTAAATATTAAAATATTTTTATTTCATTGACGCGAAAAAGCACGTGTTCGTCTAGAACAATGTCAATTGACATTGCTAGTAATTAGTCTGGACGTATTAATAATGCCCCTGTCAACTGCATGTATCGTGATAGTTAATGTTACATCCAAGATCACGTGATAAGAAATATAAGGTATGGTTTCGCTACAATGGATGTATGTGTTTTCGTTTTACTTTGGCTTTCTTGATTCAGTCAAATGTTGAACGGGCAGATAATTTCAAACTCGATAAAATTCCACAAATTGTAAACGTCTCTATGTTATCTGTTTATTAAATAATCACATACGTATTCTTATAAACTTAATGATCATTTTTCAAGTTAAGTTTTATAAAGTTTTTTCTTGAGACGTTTTGCATGCCCCTTGTCGTGTTTTTTAAACAAATATCGCAGATTGGATTTTAACTGCAGTATGTCAGATATCACAACAATTATCATTTTCACATTTTATCATAAGATTTAGTTACATCTTTTAACACAGGATTTACTGTCACGGTGTAACACAAGGCTTAGTTACATCTTTTAACAGGAGGTTTACTGTCAACGGTGTAACACAAGGTTTAGTTACATCTTATAACGCGAGGTTCATTGTCAAAATGTAACACAACGTTTACTGGCACGATGTAACACAAGGCTTAGTTACATCTTATAACACGAGGTTTACTGATACGATGTAACACAAGGCTTAGTTACATCTTATAACACGAGGTTTACTGGCACGATGTAACACAAGGCTTAGTTACATCTTATAACACGGGGTTTACTGTCACGGTGTAACACAAGGCTTAGTTACATCTTATAACACGAGGTTTACTGGCACGATGTAACACAAGGCTTAGTTACATCTTATAACACGAGGTTTACTGGCACGATGTAACACAAGGCTTAGTTACATCTTATAACACGAGGTTTACTGTCACGGTGTAATACAAGGTTTAGTTACATCTTATAACGCGAGGTTCATTGTCAAAATGTAACACAAGGTTTAGTTACCACTTGTAATGTGCTGTTTAGGTTTCTGTTTTAAACCGGAGTTGTTAATCACAAGTTAGAGATCACAGTTGAAATTAACTTTCGAATATAATCGATTGTGAGTTATCCGTGTTTTTCATAGTTTTTTTTTTCTTCAGTTGTTATTGTTAAGGGGAAATTTTCACAGTGAGTAGTTGGGCTGTTTCTACCGTATGGATCAAACTCCGAATTTTAACAAGTATTCAAGCTTACCGCTGAACCACCAAAGAGCTATGTTCCTTCAGTAAACTGTCGTTTGTAAAAAAATATTTTCTTCTGAAACTCGCCATTTGTGGTCACGTGCGAACTAAACTGTTATTATTCACGTGACGGCACGAGTTGTAAACCCGTGATAAAGATTTAAGCTCCAGAAGAGATCAAAACCTTGACCTGACAAAACAAAACTCTCTATTGCAAGGGTCTATGTTAGGAAACAAACTTGCTTTGATGTCGTAACACACACTTGTTGAATCTACTTATTGTCTTCGTGAATAATAAACCCTACTTTACGTGTTTGATATAGGTAATTAGTATCGTGAAAAAACATTTCAAACAATCTGTATCAATGTGTAATGTGGTCTACAGAATAGCGTGATCTGACCGTGAATCAGAGGTTTGTGGCTCGCGTCCCGTTGCTCCAAACTTGTTTCTTAATCTCACTGTTCGGTCGGCAATAGTTACCTTGCCTCTAGTCTCAGTTCAAAACCAGTTATGTCTGGAACTACCAGACCTTAGTTACAAATCTGGTAAAAGGTATTTTTGTTTCTTTAACGAATTTCCAACAGTCGATGAAGACGAGGAAAAAAAGAAAGATTGACAATTTGAAACATCCCGGAAAACAGCTTACAGCTTTGGAACCATTGGTATTAAATGTGATTCTAAGGAAAGACAAGAATATTTATATCAAGACCTTTTGAACCTACGTGTTTTTTTAACATCTAATGAAATGTCATCGTCTTCGATCACTGGAAAATCCCAGATGCTACTCCGGTAGCTCGAGGAACACATAACCTATATATCAATCCGCCACTTGGCTCGAGGAACCAGCTTGAACACCTAACCTGAATATCAATCCGCCAGTATGTTTTCATTTAGCTTCTCACTATTTTATCCGTCCTTATCGTCTGTAAGTGGTTTTGATTTCGATTTATTTCCATTTATTTATAATATCACTGTTATTTCTTAAATTTTCATTCGTGCTTTATGTGTCCCTTGTAGTATCCTCCGCCCCTAGCTCTTCTCCTTTTTTTTTTCACCTTTTTTTTTATTCTAATCACGTTATTAATGTATCCAGGAACAGTGTTAGTGTTTAGTGCTTCCATGAACTTAACGACACACTTGTATGTAAGCACAGTGCTGATCAACTGAAGTTTATCAACCTGGTACAGGTGTATTAGCAGTACACAGTTATAAACGGCATATTTTTCCGCCATGGTTTCATTACATCATGAAACCGAACCCTAAGAGTTTAGCTGTCAAATGGTAGGTTGGGCGTAGCCTAATGGTTAACGTTTCTGAACTGTGAATGCGAGGATTCGTGATTTGTGACCCGTAGTGACTAAAACGTTCTCCGCCCTTTGGGACTGCGAATATACTATAAATATAGGGTATAAGAGTGGTAGTCAAGTCCTACTATTCGGTCAAATAAGAGTAGCTCGACGGTGGAAGGGTAGCTAGCTGCCTTTCTTCTAATGAACTTGACAATTGTCTGCTGAAACATGTCCGGAACAAAAACAGCTTTACTCAACAAATAGTTTTTAGTTCTTCTTAGAACTAAACGTAAGTGGCTGAATGTGGATCACGTGACTGGTAACATCCTGTTTATTGCAATGGAAAATAAATACCGGTGTGACTTGAGGATCATTGCAACAAAAATTATTATCAACATCTTTTTAATGGAGGGGTGGCTTGGTTGTTAGCTTGTAGGATTATAAATCTAACGGTCTAAGGTTCAAGACTTTATGCTCCCGAACTCTCTCCAATGTAAGCTGTAAGCACATTATCAAAGCATTGTTCAGTCGAAAGTGCCGGACAAAGGCTACTCCCCCCCCCCCCCCCAACACCTTCAGTCAATGGGTCAAAATAAGGAACGGCTATGATTGAAACCTTATGCTGTATGACGTAGCACACGCATATGCGCATAAGTTGTCATTCAGACTGAAAATATCCGTTCCACTGCAATTTTAGGAGTAATAGCGTTTACTGAAACTTGATGGATAACATTTCGATATATATAAAAAAATAATAAAAAATTAGCCCCTAACCCTTCAACTACAGGTGACATCATATGATGCAAGCATTTTGGGCGCAACATTTTGAATAACCCGCAGCAAGAATTCGCGAATCTTTGCGCGTTGGATGGTAGGCAGTTTTACACAAGCCGGAAACGAAAGGTTAAAGACATATATAAAACGCTTTACCTATAAGAAATACAGGTACAGAATGCTATCGCTTTATTGTTGGTTCTTATATGTATAATATTAAGTAGCCCCCCCCCCCAGTGGCACAACGGTATGTCTGCGGACTTACAATGCTAGAAACCGGGTTTCGATACCCGTGATGGGCAGAGCACAAATAGCCCATTGTGTGTCTTTGTGCTTAATTACAAATAAACAAGCATTAACTACGGTAGTACTTAATAGTAAGGTCGACAAGGTTTCCAAATAATTCACGCGCCGAAAACCACCCTATTGAATTCTTAAGCGAAAAACCAACTATTCAAAGTATTGTTTACGATATATTATGCGCTTATATACTAATAATACGTTAAAAAGGTCGCTAACATTTCCGGTATAACAATTCAAAAAATTTTAGTCTAAAACAGCAACTTTTTCATCTACTACCTACCTGATCACGTCAGCGGGGCTAGCACCTAGACAACTCGATCTATCGCTATAAGATTTCTCCAGCTTACTTGACTAGTCTGTGGGTATCTGCTTTTGATATTCCGATAAAAATCCATATATATATATATATATATATACAGGTATAATATAAATAGTAAACATATCATGCACATACTTAAATATATTTTCAAACCAACAGATGGCGCTACATATCGATAGATAGTTTCTAAAGGTAAAGTATATACTTTATACAGTTTGTTTGTTTTGAATTTCACGCAAATCTAAACTAGGGCTATCTGTGCTAGCTGTCCCTAATTTAGCAGTGAATAAATAGAGGGGAAGGCAGCTAGTTATCACTACCCACCGCCAACTTTTGGGCTACTTTTTTACCAACAAATAGTGGAATTGACCATTATATCTTAACGCCTCCACGGCTGAAAGAGCGAGCATACTCGGTAACGGGGATTCGAACCCGCGATCCGTAGATTACGAGCCAAGCACCCTAACCATCAGGCCAAATAGGAAAACTTTGGGAAAAATGCGTTAACTTACTTGAAAGCAATGTTTTAGCACACTCATACAATTAATCGTGTATGTTCTATCACTCGTAAAACAGCAGTAAATCTAGAGGTTTAAGACGCTAAAAATTGGGTTTCGATACCCGCGGTGGGCAAAGCACAGATAGCTCAGAGTAGTTTTGTGCTTAGTGACAAGCAAAACAAAAGAACACAAAAACAATACACTTGTAATAAATGAAGATATAAAGAATTAATTGTGATAAAAAGTTAACTCATTTTTTCAGGCCCCCCAGTGGCACAGTGGTTTCGACACCCGTGGTGGGCAGAGCACATATAGCCCTTGTGTAGCTTTGTGCATAATTAAAAACAAAACAAAAACATTTTTTCTGCCTGGTAGATGGAAAGTTTTCTTTATCATATATATAAAGTTGTAAGGTGATTTGTGATATAAATTATTTATAACTTAAGTCCGAAAACATAAATATTGGTTTTAAAATATGTAAGATTGATAAAACTTGTGCAAAATGTTACTCAAACAGTGTAATTGTTCGCAGATACCTCAGCGGTAATCGTAAAGGTTGGAAACCCTAAAATTTGTGGTTGGATCCCTACGTCAGGCATAGATTAAATAGTCAGCCCATTGTGTATATTTGCGCTTAAACAAAAGTAACTATACACCTTTGTGTACGTCTATATATATATATATATATATATATATATATATATGTCATATTACTGATGATATGCTTCAAATGGAAGAACATCGGGCGGGTCAGCAGAAACGAACAATTTTTTACATTCTCTGTCTCAAGGAATTTGTATGAAGGAGCTGTGTAAGTACGTACCACGAGGGTATGGTCGGGAAAGTAACATACCTGTTTCTCGGTCTGAGAACTACTCAATATTTATATAGTGAAACGTCAAACAGTTGGGCACGATACTGCCGTAAAAGGAAGTCTTCTTTTAAACGTCCCCAGAGGGCAGTTTGAAAATTATACAACTTGGCAGCTGGTAATTTGGTAGTGTAATCTTTAACAAGGTTGTTCCTCAAACCCAGACTTGTTGAAATTAAAAAGTAGACTAGAGAGAGTCGGGCATTTCAGTAGTATGAAGGTATAGTTTGAGTAGTGCTGTAAGTACCAGGTTAACCCATGACGTGTAGTGTACTGTGTAGTATGAAGGTATAGTTTGAGTAGTGCTATAACTAGCAGGTTAACCCATGGCGTGTTGTGTACTGTGTAGTATGAAGGTGTAGTATGAGTAGTGCTATAACTAGCAGGTTAACCCATGACGTGTAGTGTACTGTGTAGTTTGAAGGTATAGTTTGAGTAGTGCTGTAAGTAGCAGGTTAACCCATGATGTGTTGTGTACTGTGTAGTTTGAAGGTATAGTTTGAGTAGTGCTGTAAGTAGAAGGTTAACTCATGACGTGTTGTGTACTGAAACTATACCTTCATACTACAGAGTAGTGCTGTAAGTACCAGGTTAACCCATGACAGTACACTACACGAAACTATACCTTCATACTACACATTAGTGTTGTAGGTAATAGATTAGCCCTTTAATCAGTTGCGCTTGTTTTTTTTTTTGGTTTTTTTTGGTTTTTTTGCCGCTTGACTCTGCTAGTGATGAATAAGTTGTAATATATAGGCTTAAGAAATGCAGTGAGAAACAACACTGACTAGTATTAATAAATTTATAGTTGTAAAAAAATCACGTCACGTGAAATGGCCGGAAGAAAACCAATTACTTGAAGAAACATTACTTAAACATTGTCCCAACCAACTAAAGTAGAATCATTTAAGAACAGAAACATCGACTTCTACACCCTTCGTCTGTAATACTTTCTCTACTGCGACAGCACTCTTCCACACACAAACTATGACATTTTATCCCACACGCTTAGGCAACGGGTGTGAAACCTCGAATCCACGGATTCACAATCTTGTTATTCTAACATTTTATTGTTTGTGAATATTAAAACACAATCACTTGTAGATGCTAGGGAACTAAAGTCACTGAGCTTAACTTATTTTGAAGATTTGTCATGGTCAGAACATTTTTTTCAATAACGAATGTACCGTTGCATCAGAAGTCAAGGTCATCACTGTTTTGTTAGTGCTAATTTATGACCAACTATGTTGATCATAAGTAGCAAAACATGAAGAAAGATAAACCTTGGGAACGTGGAGAATGTACTTGGATTTTTGAATATGTTTTGTTCTGTATTCCTCATTATTTTCATTAGTTATGAACGTTTTTGACTTTGAATGTAAACCAGGCTCTAGTTCATTATTAAATGATTTAAAAGCTGCGTCTAAGTTTGACCTCATATGTTAGAAACTGCCGTAAAGAGGCCGACATATTTACACGCACGTGGCTGAAGAGGAATGTCATTTAGAAACTCATCAGTCTTGGGAAATAAAAAGTATAGATAACGTGTGTGTTTGGCACAACGATAAAAATAAGCTTAGTCATACACAAGTTTGTTCCTTTTATTTCTGACTCCACCCACTAGATGGCTTCCGCGAAAGGTGGTAGTCAGAGTAAAGGTGCGAAACCTGTTTGTGACGTGTGTGCCTGAGTTTGGATAAAATGATTGCGTGAACGTGTTGGAAAAACGTTGTTTCCAAGAGGCTCTGAAAGGCTAACGTTTACTCAGCAGCATGCGTATGGCATTTTTATCAGGTACAGATATTTTCTTTAGTCACATCTAAAGCGTTATTAACGTTACTAACTGCAGCGTCTCAATCCTCCTTGTGT